AAGGTTTAATGGAGAACAAGTGGTCTTTGCCCAAGATTTATCTACATGACACACAGTAATTAAAAATACCAGTCTGGTGGAACTAACCTTCTTGGGTGTTTAACAGACATACTTTGAGGCCTATAATAATTTGGTCAGAGGGACACAAAGGGCACTTTTTGCTCCTAGCCCTCTGAGGTCAACTAGTTCCAGGGGACTATGAGCATCTCTCAAAATGCCCTATAACGGTGGTTGTTCCCCTGTCCTCTTGATCAAGGAGGCTGAGGAGACCCCACCAGATGGACTTGAACCAGTGTCCAGTCTATAAAGAGGAAGGTCAACACAGAGGAATCATTTCCTCCATGTTGCCAAATGAAGCCAACCATGGTCGAGCAGGACCTTTGCCTTATCTTCACATAGGCGGAATTGGTAAAAGAAAGGAGCCAGGGGCTCCTCCCAAACCTGTGTGACCCCTGAGGAACAGATCCTCAAACGACCTTAAGAATAAAAATAAATCAGTTTATCTGGTCCAACTGTATGGCCTTAAACACCGAAAAGGAAAGTATAACCAAATATTAAAGGGGCCAATATAATTTCATGAGAGTCCATATGTATAGCTAAAGCTACATAACAAGCAACAATGCCAGAGAAGCTATAACTTCTTTTGAGTTGTTGGCCAGGGTGGCCAAAGGGATTCCCAGGTAGTAACCCAGCATAGAACTGGGAAAATGAACAGCAGACCCCAATCTTATCCAAAGGAATATTGACAACTGATTACTGCTAGATGAGGAACAGCTGACCCTCCTAAAACAAAGACCTCTAGATAGGCTGACTAGATTCACCAGAAGGGCAAGTAGTGGGGAATGGCTGGGGGTGCTGACAACACAGGAGACAGTAGCAGGGATATCAGAGTATAAGGGCTCTAGTGAGGGGTGGGAGGCTATGGGAGGGTGCTATCAGGGAAGTGGGTATAAAAATAAATTAATTAATTTCAAAAAAATTAAAAAACATTCTTCAAAGCATAAAAATTTTCTCCTTAATAATTGGTGGATGTGAAAAACATTAACATCAAAATCTACCTGATGACTTTATACCCATGCTCAGATGCCAAGGAGCTCAGAAAGTAACCGTCACTAGTAATAACCAGATATATACAGATTAGAAATGCATGTTCATTTTAGTGTTAATTGTATTGAAAATGAATTTTTTTCTGTATGAAGCTGTGTATTTTAATTGTGAAATGCTGGTGGATGTGAAAAACATTAACATCAAAATCTACCTGATGACTTTATACCCATGCTCAGATGCCAAGGAGCTCAGAAAGTAACCGTCACTAGTAATAACCAGATATATACAGATTAGAAATGCATGTTCATTTTAGTGTTAATTGTATTGAAAATGAATTTTTTTCTGTATGAAGCTGTGTATTTTAATTGTGAAATGCAGATCTTTTTTAAATTTTAAAACCTCATTTAATTTTGTCTTATAGGGTTTATACTGAGTAGTATTACTGTTAACTGTAATAATTCATTCAACTGTAAACCTAAAAATTTACAGCTGGTTTGAAAAAGATGCATCTTAGCTCTGGAAATTGTTATTGAATATGTCAATGCTGTTGTAATGAAATGCTTCTAAGTATGTGGTTATTAGATATTTTTTTAAAAAAACAGAGCCATAACAAGACATATACAAGTTATTGGTAGTAGATAATCAGAAACTTTAAAAATCATCTAGCCATCCATCAGTAGGAGAATGGACTAATTTTTTGTAATGTTCATGCAAAGGAATATTACCAATTATTTAAAAAATAGTTATTGATGAATAATCTTAAAATGTTATGATGAAACAAATAAAGGCACAAATTAGCACACACTCTTCATTTCCGTTTTTATGAAATAAACTGAAAGGTAAACTCAGATCAGAAGATAGATTTCCAGGGCTGTGCACTGACTAGAATAAGGCACACTAGAATTTTTGGAGTAGTTATAATATTGTATACCACACCCTTAACGACATAGGTCAGTTTCAGTTATGAAAAATTCCTATACAACTTTTAAAAGTTGAATCTCAAGTTTTGAGAAGCTTTATTTTTCTGTCTACCTTTGCATGAAAAAAATAAGACTGTAAAGGAAATTTGTATTTTACCTCTTTGGGTCTGAAGAATCCGTCAATACACGTCTCACAATTTATTCCAGCCGTATTTTGTGTGCAGTTGATGCACACCCCGCCCCCGATGTACTTTCCATGGATATTTAAACTCAGATTTCTTCTGGCAACATTTTCATCATAATAGCACTCTTCAGCTTTTCCGTGACAATTGCAGGCTGCAGAAAGGAAAAACAAATTAGTAAAAGTCAATTTCAGGTTTTAGATATGCTTAAAGATATTTTCTATTATCCATATAACACACATACACAAATGTATTCAGAAAATAGTTGGAACTATTTTATATATTGTTAAATTTAGTCTTTTAATAAAATTTGAAGTAATTAAAATATATAAATTAACCTGAAAAGAAAATTGCCAATATTTTGCTGATAATTCAAACAAAATAGTGCAATTTCACATATTAGGCTCACAGTTTTCTATTATGACAAACAATTATTGAACAATAATTCTAATGAATTCTAATGAATGCAATCTCTGATGAATAATTATCATATGTGAATTTCTGAGCTACATTCTATGGGTGAAAAGGACATATAGGATTTAATAGGTCATTTCTTTTATTATTCATGACAAGTAAAATTTTTCAATAAGGCAGACTGTTTTAATCACCTTATAGTTACTGCTATTGACCATAATTAAAAATTAATCTCTCTCCAATTATTCCTAAAATAAGTCACAGAGAAGTGAATTCATATACAAAGAAACTCCCATCAGCACTGGAAAGCACATTCTGGAGTGAGGTTTCAGGACCTGCACTCCTAACCACTGCCACAGTTTTCTCTGGTTCTACCCAGTCAGTGACAGAAGATAGACAGTAGGTATCAAGACAGGATGAGAGACCAAGCCAGCTTGGAGCTGGACACCATCCCCCTTGATTAGTGGTCATGGGATGTGAGCAATGCCCTAATTTCACTAAGACCCCATTTCAATGTAATGCCTGAGATGGTCAATAGTCATTACCAGATAGGGATGTTTAAAAGCATCAAGTGAGATGACACATACAAAATCATTAACACAATGCCTTATAAATAAGTTAATTGATTTGTCCCACTCTTCATCTTTTCTGTCTTTTTTCATGTCACATTATAGGAATTTAAGACACTGAGAAATCACTTCTCCCAGAATAACTTGGCAAAGTTTTAAAATTCATATGGAATCTACATGAAGATGGAATTCAGAAAAAAATATTTTTAATCTCCTTCCTTTCACAGATATTATTACCTGTCCTTTTATTGATCTATGCTTGTGTATCTGAAGGCGTGCATATGCACCTGTGAAGGTGTGCATATATGTATACAGCCGTTTTATGTATAAAACCCCTCCAAACTGCTTGATTTTACTAATAGCAGTGTTGTTCTTTCCATATTTTCATGGATATTCCCCTAAGCCTACACAAAAAACTACTTGAATGGAGGAATATGTTGGTGCCCTATTAATGGATAATTACAGTTAATTACCAGGTTTCTCCTTCACTGTACACATACTAGGAGATGATGGGGGGAGAACGAAGCTTAGGGGTAGGTCTGATCTGTGATGCTAAATGGTTTCCTGGGTATTAGTTGAATAATCGTGAGGAGTAAATTCAATCCTTAGTGTCATTTTATGACTACTTTCATCTATTTTGAAAATACTAAATACTTAAAAGAATGTTGGAGACATACTTCAGTAAATGTTAGCATTAGTAGTAGCAATTAAAAATATCGACAAAAATTATTACAATATAGCCTGTACAAATGAATGAGTTAGATTGTTGGAAGCAAGAGTGTTAGTCAAAAGCATGTCAAATTAGAATTTTAATAGCTTGACAAATTACCATCCAGAAAATTAGATTTCTCTCTCCGTAGTGTACATGGTGAGTCAATTTCCTCATATCATCACCAATATTATATCTTATCAAACTTTTAATATCATTCCTACACATACAAGTATTCAAGTGTCTCTTAAGAGGATGGTTGCATACACTGATAAGTCAAAACAGTGTTTCCATCGTTTTAATTTGCACTTCCTCGACTTGAGTAGGAGTCTCTTTTGTATGAAATATTAATATCAGCATTTTGCAGAGAAATACCTGTTTTGGTCTTTGCTAGTAATAGGGAAATACCTGCTTCGATTTTTGCTAGTAATAGGTGGTTGTTTTTACTTATTGACATGTCAGAGCTTTTAAGATAGAAAGGATGTTCTCTCTGTGCTATATCTGCTGCAAAGTCTTCTACAATTTGCTGAGTTTGGACTTAGAATACAGTAATTCTCTTATGTTTGTGGATTTCAAACTTTATTTTAAGGAATACATAGTAATAAATATAAACCTCTATGCATTATGAATGACTTTATATCTTTGGGCAACACACATAATTATTTAAATATCCTCTTTTAAATATGTATTATAAAAAGCCAGCAAAAATTTCTTCTGCCAGTGTAGAGGAAAATATAATGTAATGCAGACTTATATTCCCATATTCAGAATAGGAGTTTCTGAGTTCTTAAACTATGAGATAATATTTGATATCTGAGAGGCATTCCCTCTCATATTCTCTGCAACCAGGATCCATTGCTTGCCTATCAACCACACCCTGCCCAGCTCTAGATGTGTGGCATCCGAGGACAAAGTGGGTAACTGCTATCAGTGAATCATTTTCTGCTCCACCATAAGCAACTTTCTACTTCACAGAAAATCCTTGACTTGTGCTGAGCAACTGTTCTTTGCATAAAAACTTAGTAATGTGTGATTATTTGTTGCACTTTCGAGATACACGTTCCTTTAAATAAGCTAGATCAATGAAAACCCAAACTAAGCTCAAATGAATTAGAAAGTGATTATCTACTGTATAGAGAGAGTTACCCTATTGTGAGAGAGTTTCCTAAGTATTAAAGTGATTAGAATGCAATTCAACTAGAATAAGAAATATTTTATATCAACCTTTAGGAATGCATGCACTGATATTGAATGGCATGATGCTTAGCTACGTTTTTATGGGTAAGATACCCATCACTAATTTCTGGACTTTCAAAATTTTTATTCTTTAGAATTTAGAAGAACAACCTCCCTTCTGCCCTTCAAAGAAAGAAAACGGTCTCATAACTCTAATATTTTTTTAAAAAACTATAATAAGTGGATCTAGGCAGGTAACACTGGTTGGGAACAGTTGATAAGAAACAAAGGGTGAAGTTCTAGTGGTCCCAACCATGACGACTGAGAGTCCAGTGGTGGCCCAGCCTCTACATATGTCCACTGATGATAGAGGACTTTAAATCCAAAACATCTTTAGAAACAGGCAGACACATATCAAAAAACAAATGATGTAAGTGAAGAAATTGAAGAGGTTCAGAATATAGATAGCATGCGAACATCTTAAACTGAAAAGAAATCTGTCTATGGTGAGGAACATTTAGAGTCTCACCATATCTGGCAATAATAGCGCAGAGCTAAATTAGTTTAAATTCAGTGTGTATATAGTGTTGGTTTAGTTTAATACATACCAAGCCTATATCAGAGTCCTTATATACTTATTGAATTTAAAATATATAGTTTTGGATGGCTCACTATTTTAATTCAGCTTTATTTGACCTCATGCCAATTTGAGTTTAAAGTTCTGCAGAAATGTATTTTTAAGTCTTTTCTTAGATTTTTCCAAGAAAATCTCCAAAAATGTTTTCTAGAATTCCTGTCACCACGTTGGTCTATTTGGCTATATAGGATATAAAGTCTTATGGTATACCTCTTCTTAGGCACTTCCCTAAGGAGTAAACAATCACTCACGTTCTTTTCAAGGTGATAAAGTGCAAAGATTAGTTGGCACACCCCCTCAGCCTGTGATCTCACCACTTCTCATTTCTACCTTCTGTCCTAGTCACTGTCCACTAATTGCTACAGCATAGGTTATGCTAATGAATATTGTTGATGCCATTTTTATACAAGTACTTATATACAAATGTTATTCAGAATCTGTATTTTGAAAGTGTTTTCCTGTTACTAATCAATATATTAAAGAAATAGTCCCACTTCTATGCTTACTGGAGCAGTGCTCACAAAAGGCAATGTGTAGGATCAATCAAATGTCTATCAATTAAAGAACAGATAAAGAAAATGTGGAATATGTGCTTAGTGGAATACTCTTAAACCAAAGAGAAATGGAATCTTCCATTTGTAATAATATGGATGGACCTGGGGGACATTATGTTAAAGGAACTAAGTCAGGCACAGAGAAACACACGCAGAGAGCAGGATGAATATATTTATAACCTAATCAGTTTGCTCTCATTGAACTTGAGAGAAAAATACTGATTACCAAAATATGGAGGGTGAGATGGGGAAAGGTAGATCACTTACTATGTTAATTATAAGTTCTGCTGTTCCATTGCACAGTGTAGAAAATGATAATGAACTATATATTTCACAATAGCCAGATGAAAGAATCTTGAACATTTTCACCACTAAGAAGTGTTAACTATTCTAGAGTTGAGCATTATGCAATGTGTATATCTAAATCTCACAATTTTCCCCAATGTCTACTACAAACCAATACTCATTTCCACAAAGCTTCATGCCTTGACCTCACTGTCACTTTCATCCACATCTTTCCCAGCTGCTGCCCACCAACATTACAGAACAAAACTGTGACTAGTCAATCTTAGTGAATGAATTCTTTGGTTTACTGTTAGTAGCCTGACTCTGACATAAAGGTGATCTCTCACCTCTGATTTCTTATGCTAAATAACAAGTGTTCAGAGGAATCATTTCCTCCATGCTTCCAAGTGAAGCCAACCATGATGGAGCAGGACCTTTGACTTATCTTCACATAGGCAGATCTGGTAAAAGAAAGGAGCCAGGGGCTCCTCCCAAGCCCATGTGACCCCTGAGGAACAGATCCTCAAATGACCTTAAGAGTAAAAATAAATCGGTTTATCTGGGCCAACTGTATGGCTTTAAACACCCAAAAGGAAAGTATAACCAAAGATTAAAGGAGCCAATATAATTTATTAAGAGTCCAA